TTTCTTAAATTTTTCCTCCAAAACAATTATACATTAATTCATTGTCTATATTTTCACAAAACAAAATGTTAAAGTAGAAAAGGAATATATATTGCTAACCTCTTTAATCAATAATATAAAATGTAAACAAATCAATATCAAAGAAATACATACAAATAAATAATAAATATATACAGTAATTCCTTGCGAACACCATGGATAACAGGATGACAAAACACATGTTTGATAAGGAAATCATCCTTTAGGTAGTCCTTTAATCGTTTTTGAAAATGGTAGCACCCTAGAAAATATTAAATTACTTAAAACGCGCAGAAATACGCAATTTCGGGTAAAGTGAAACTAATTCACAACATTTCACGTTTTTCATTTCTTCTTATTTCAGGTTTAACAAACGTTAACACTTTCTTAAAAGCTTTCATGAAGTTAAAATTGTAAAATTAAATTCTAATTTTTCAATGTTATTTTAAATATTGTCTTTTTCGAAGTGAAGGAATATTATTTCCAACCATTTACAAGAATATCAAATATAGACAGTTATTGAAAATTATTTACGACTTTCCAGAATTAACGTTTAAAAATAATGTAAAAATATAGGCTCTACAAAAGAAATTTTTTAAATATTTTGAAATTATGACTTTGACTGCGTGCAGTAGAACAGTGTTTAGCATTTCGCAAAAATTTATTGCGAATTTGAATATATTGATGTATTGGTAATAGGATGATATAAAAAAATAAATTTTATTCACTGTTCCAAAATTTGAATTTCGCACAGGAAAACTGGTAGTTTGAACTATAGTACAATGATTAACAAAAAACAATTGGCTTTTCGCTCATCTACTTGCTTTTGTTTGCCTTTACAATCGTACATTTGAGAACAAAACAAACGCCGAAACGTATTTTATGAAACAATCATAAAGTGTGTGTGTGGACTTCATTTAATTTGTACGGTTTTTATTTTGTTTTTGTTTTTATTACTACTGTATTCCACATAGGCATCTACAAAAACTTAAACCTACAAGTCTTCTTTTAATTTTACTCAAAAATGTTTTTGTAATGAGCAAAACCATCAGGAAACGTTTGCGAAAATGTTTCGCTCAAAACTTTTCAGTTTTGCTCCCACTGTTTTCTTTTCTAGATTTAGCGCCTTTTAACAATCCAAAAGTCGCATTTTTTCCTCTTAGCGCTTTTTTGGCAAAAGGCGCTAAATTAGCGCTTTTTCAAAAAATTTATCTTTTTAATAACATAAAATTATTCTAGTTTAACAATAAAGATAAAACGGAATAATTTTAGACAGTACTTTTTCTAAACTTTCCATATTATGGGTAATTCAAAGATCTTTTAGTGTGATGAGTTATTTTAAAACTTTAAAACTAAAATAAAAAATATTCACCTCTTTCGCCAAAAGAATTGAAATTTGTTTCTTCTTAAATTTTCATTCCCTTCGAAGGGAAAATTGATTTCGTGAAATTCCACAACAGTTGATTTTGTTCGTAACAGCTTTTTATTGATCAGAAAATTCTATAAAAAATTCACAACAAGGGAAGTTTTTCACGTCAAAAAAGGGAAAAGTTGTAAATTAACTTAATTTTAGTTAGGTTAACTTGAACTTGAAATTAAAATTGCATTTCGTGAAAACTATTGATAATTGAATGTGAATAATACAAAAATAATTTTGATTAGCATTATTTTTTTATAACTTCACTGTGAAGGAAACAATTACTTGATGATTACTTCAGTTTTTTTCACAAAATTTTGGCTCTTGGTATTTTTGGAAATGAAGAGTTTAATTAAAATTTATTATGGGGAATTTCAAAAAATCTCTTGGACTAGTTATTGAGATCTTGATCGATGAAGCAATTAGTCATTGAATAAGAAAATCGAACATATTTGTATTAACCTTAATTTTTAAAATTTCGTTTCCGAATCAAAATTCCAATTAAGGAGTAATTTTTTTAATAAACAAATTTTAGCTAAATACTATGTTTTTTAAGACTGTGTAAAAATAGAATTTTAGCGCTTTTTAGTGCGTTTTGAGTGAATGGACGGCGCGTTTTAGTATAAAATAGTTGAAAACACTGTTTCTACCGGACCCGTTATTTTCAGTCTCTGGTCAGGACTATGATATATTCTATAGTCTCGACTAAAGTCTTGTCTATACTTTGACCTATATTCTGGAGTATAGACTGTGCTACACTATAGCCTAATCTTTGGTCTGACTCTAGATTAAATTGCTTTGACTAGTCCCCTGCTTGTAAGGTATACATGAACAGCCAGCCGACCGATCACAGAGAAAGGCTATCAACCGTTTCATAAAATTTAAAGTGAACATTATTATCATCAGCACACATAGGAAACACCACTAAACGTTTCGTTTTAGCAATACAATATGTTTTGTTAAAATGAATTTGCAAAATCCCTGTTTCTTTCTGCAAGTATGCACACCAAATTTTACATTTCTATTTGCTGTAAATGTTTAAAGTATTCGTTATTAGTCCTACCTTTGGTTGCAATTTAAATCCATATGATTCGGATGTAACAATTTGTTAGATTTTGAATTTTTTTAAATGGTTTCAAAAATTATTTAATTTTTAAATAGAAACTTCAAAGAAAATGTGAGCATTTTAAAAAGAATACGGTAGCACGCATGGCATAATCATGGGTAGCACGATTTTAATGAAAACTTCAAAATCCTTAAGCATGTCAGTTAGAGAATTTAAAAAAATAAAGAGAGAATGACACAACCTTCTATTTTTCTTCCATGCTTAAAAGTAACTTTTGCAAAAATATATCATGATTGTTCTACAATTAACAAACATACATATGTATCTATATATGTATTTATGCGTATTCGCGGTATTCAGGAAAACTCTTGTCAAAGGGCCAGATGAAATTATATTGATTCGGTATTGAAGAAATTAAAGACTTATTATTTATCTAATTTAGAACTTTCAATCGATTTTTGGCACGGGATCTCGTTATCCACTTAAGCTAAAATTTTACACAAGTTATAGACACTACCCTGCCAGCAATTTTGTAGTCGACTACGAGAAAAATTCACTTCTAGTTTACTTTTACAGACTGACTATAAGCTAACTATAATGTCATGCACAGCTGTCCCAAAATTTTGTATTTGGCAACGTAAAGAACCGACTTTTAAATACTAACTACAAGCTAGCTATAATGTAATGCATAAGTGCCTCAAAATTATCTGGAGAGAATTAATTGTATTTCATGTTTTCTCTTGTTTCTCTATTATTATGATTTTATTTGTTAACTTTAGTAGACTGACTATAAACGAACAACAATGTAATGCAGAAATGTTCCAAAATTTGGTATTTATTAACGTAAACAACCGACTTTTAAAGACTAGCTACAAGCTAACTATTATATAATGCGGGAGTACCCCAAAATTATCTGTAGAGCATTTTGTTTCGACATGTTTTCTCATGTTTCTTTATTATTTGGAATTTTGTTTTACATTTTTGTCATTTTCTTCTATACGTTGTGAAATTAGAGTCAGAAAATTGGAAAAATTAATTATAAAATGTTAAATATTTCAAAACTCGGTCCCTAAATTCTAAATTCTGCTGATTAATACTGTAAATATAATACATTAACAGTTAACATTACACATAACATTTTAAAATTTATTTTAGATTTGGACAAATGGGAATCATGGAAATAATGAACAAATCATTCATAATTTTATGGATACCGGTGTTATTATTAGTTCCCCTGCAGAAAACTGATGTCTATTAATTTTAACGAACTAATATCATAACTTGTATTAAAGCGAAATGTAATTTAGATAACTAGTAGTTAAATTTTAAATATATTTAATTAAAATGTAATTAATTAATACAGTAGGGAATACAAAAGAAAACTATTACTTGACTTTTCTGCAACTAACTTTAAGTTAGTTAATAAAGAGTTACCTTTAAGCTAATTTTTTAGTAACTAACTTTAAGCCAGTTGAAAAGTCATGCAGAGTCGGACAATTGACTACTGCGTAGGACATCGCCATGTTAAAATAGTCAGTTGGCTCCATTAAAAATAATCCAAGAATCAACCATAATTAGTTGATGAAAAAGTCGGCTTTTAATGCATTGAGTTGCTGGCAGGGTATAAATTAATACCAATACAAACAAAATTGGTATTTATACCCTGCCAGCAACTCAACTAACTTCAAATGCATTAAAAGCCGACTTTTTCATCAACTAGTTATGGTTGATTCTTGGATTATTTTTAACTAATAATAACATCGGTATCCATAAAATTATGAATGATTTGTTCATTATTTCCATGATTCCCATTGGTCCAAATCTAAAATACATTTTAAAATGTTATTAATCAGCAGAATTTAGAATTTAGGGACCGAGTTTTGAAATATTTAACATTTTATAATTAATTTTTCCAATTTTCTGACTCTAATTTCACAACGTATACAAGAAAATGACTAAAATGTAAAACAAAATTCCAAATAATAAAGAAACATGAGAAAACATGTCGAAACAAAATGCTCTCCAGATAATTTTGGGGTACTCCCGCATTATATGATAGTTAGCTTGTAGCTAGTCTTTAAAAGTCGGTTGTTTACGTTAATAAATACCAAATTTTGGAACATTTCTGCATTACATTGCTGTACGTTTATAGTCAGTCTACTAAAGTCAACAAATAAAATCATAATAATAGAGAAACAAGAGAAAACATGTTGAAATACAGTTAATTCTCTCCAGATAATTTTGAGGCACTTCTGCATTACATTATAGTTAGCTTGTAGTTAGTATTTAAAAGTCGGTTCTTTACGTTGCCAAATACAAAATTTCGGGACAGCTCTGCATTACATTGTAGTTAGCTTATAGTCAGTCTGTAAAAGTAAACTAGAAGTGAATTTTTCTCGTAGTCGACTACAAAATTGCTGGCAGGTTAGGGCACGTCTATGTACACATGTTAAAAGAATGAAAATTTGAGCTAAATTCATATCTAGCGTATGTACGTACCTCTTTTGTGTCCAGTTTCTGAAGATGTTTTAACAAGCTCATATAATCTTTACAATTATCCTTGTAAAATTTAGCTACAGATTTGTTGTGCTCCAATTTAATGTCGTGATCCTTGAACTCCTCGAGTTGTTCCAAAAAATTAATACAGCAATCATAATTCCCTCTATAAATATACTTGAATCAAATAATGTTTAAGTTTTCAATATTTGTCATACTTATCGAATTCATCACTAGCTTTTGTTATTAAAAGGTAATCATGACCATCAACTCTTATTTTATCTGGAGTTGATGGTAATTCTGGCATATTCACTTCCTCAGTTTGCTCCATATTTTTGTAAAATAATTAAATAAATAACAAATACAAATCCAAGGCGAATTCACATAAGGTGGTGTTCAAGGCGAATAGACTATAAGGTGAAGCCATTTCATTTTGCGGCGAATTCATGAAATTTTTTATATATGCAGTTTGACAGCGTCGGGTTTGAGAGAGAATTTTTTTATATGTAGTTTGACAGCTTCGGGCTAAATTTCCATGGACAAAAAACAATCAGATGTTGAAATGACTTCACTTTATTAGTTTCGCCATGGCGGTGTTATTCAATCAGCTGATTATTTTATTCATCACTTGACTGGTACGCACTGATGTCAGAGTTTGTTATTGTTTACATTTTTATATTTAAAAATTTCCGTTAAAACAGAGAAAAACTTCTTTAGTAATTTGAAAAATTTATGTAAAAAATCTGAAAATACCACGCATTTTGCAAACTAATATTTTTCTTATATAAATAATGAATAATTGGTACGCATGTACCAACTTAATATAAGAATACTATTTTTTCTATTAAATGTTAACAAATTATATTTCATATTTACACTTTGTATACAAAGCGATTAACTAAAAAAATCTGTTCTGTTTATATAAAAAACCCACATGAAGAATTTACCTGACCGGCGGCAGCTGTCTTCTACGTTATGGATAAATTTTGAGATCTAAAAAAACTTAATAAAATATTTGGCTTAAGTATATATATATATATATATATCAAATTAAAGGTATTTCAAAGACCTTTCCAATGATATGTAACATGATATACAAAAAATTACCCATTATAGGTCAATTTTGGGAAACATAATTTTTGACCCGATATTTTTGAGGTTTATCTAAAAAAATCGGGAAAAAATGCCTTTATAGGTAAGTATGTAAATTAGATTGTTTAAAAGCAGGGACCGTAACCGTTATGATTTTTACAATAAAACTCAGAAAATAATAATTATTTTGGATTTTTATTTTTTTTGGTGGAAATAATAATTATTTTCTGATTTTTATTTTTTTGGGCAGAAATAAAAATCAAAAAATTATTTTTATTTTTTTTTGGCAGTAATAATAATTATTTTTTGATTTTTATATTTTTGGCAGAAATAAAAATCATTAAGGTAATATCATTTTGGTTTATTCATTTGTTTGTTAATTTGCTTGATATTTTTCTTTGCTTATTTGTTTATTTGATCTTAGATAGTTTCTTTGTTTGTTCGTTAGTTTGTTTATTTGTTCGTTCGTCAGTGTCTTTGTTTGTCCGTTTAATTGTTTGTTCGTTAGTCTGTCTGTCTGTTTGTTTATTTGTTTGTTCATTATTTTATTTTAATATAAAATAATATAACATATAGATATATTTAGTTATACATTTTATTATTTATAAAATTGTTTCTTTATTTGTTTTTTTTGTATCAAGCTAAAATACGAATTGCGTATAAAGAAGAAGAGCTATACTTTTTTTTTTTTTTTGTAATTATACATTTTCAATTAGCTAAATAAGACAATGTGTCCTAAAATAAACATGTATTTTATATTTTGTGTACTTATAACAAAAAAATAAACAAACAATTTTATAAATAATAAAATGTATAACTAAATAAATCTGTATTTTATATTATTTCATCTTAAAATAAAATAATGAACAAACAAATAAACAAACAGACAGACTAACGAACAAACAATTAAACAAACAAACAAACAAAGACACTGACGAACGAACAATGATTTTTATTTCTGCTAAAAATATAAAAATCAAAAAATAATTATTATTTCTGCCAAAAAAAAAATAAAAATCATTTTTTGATTTTTATTTCTGCCCAAAAAAATAAAAATCAGAAAATAATTATTATTTTTTGCCAAAAAAATAAAAATCAAAAATTTAAAAAGCATAGTGTTTTATAAAAATATAGCTCAAAACAATAAAAATGGTATCTTTAAAGTTGTTCTCCTATAATTTCTTATATTTGATTTTTTTCTTTAAAAATTCAAAGATAATAATTATTTACGATCCCTGTTTAAAAGCCAAGATATTGAGCTTTTTATTAAGGTATAATATGTTTTTGTAAGTGTTATAGTTCCTGAGATATTAATAATTTAATTATGATTTTGCTATTATGAAAAAAAAAAACGTATGTATACTAATCTTTATTAAGCGAAGCGGATGTTAGACATACCATAAAGGAGAAAACCCTTGCGCCCGGCCGTAGGCCGGCTATTTAGGAAATCTTTATTAAGCGAAACCGGTGTTGGACATACCATAGAGGAGAAAATCCTTGCGCCCGGCCGTAAGCCGGCTATTTAAGAAATCTTTATTAAGCGAAGCCGGTGTTGGACATACCATAGAGGAGAAAATCCTTGCGCCCGGCCGTAGGCCGGCTATTTAGGAAATCTTTATTAAGCGAAGCCGGTGTTGGACATACCATAGAGGAGAAAATTCTTGCGCCCGGCCGTAGGCCGGCTATTTAGGAAATCTTTATTAAGCAAAGAAAGCCGTGTAAACAAAAAATATTTTGATACATATGTTGGCCTCTCACGATGAACTATTTTCTTCATAGGGGAATCTGACAACTCTGATGATATGTAAATTAAATTATAAAATAAATAGTTTTTGAAATCAAATATCTCTTTCATTTGATTAGATACAGAAATGGTTTATACCTTAAATAAAAGCTTAATTCATTGGCTATTAATATATAGAAATTTATAATAGAATTATATAGAGATTTTTTCCGATTTCTTTTAGATGAAAAAAAAAGTCGGGTCAAAATATATATTTTCCGGGAAATACCCATAGTCGGTCCATATTTTAGTATCCTGTTATATATCATTGGAAAGGTATTTTCAATACCTTTAATTTGATGTATAAATTTTGAAAAATGTATTAAACTTTGGAGCCCCGCCCACTCGAAAGTAGGCGTGGCCGACAAAAAAAATGTATATCTTTTATCGTCTCAAAACGCTCTATATTGGGTTTTTTTTTTTTTTTTTTAGAGAAATGTCACTAAAACTGACTTGTTCCAAATATTTTATATTTACACTGTGTATATAATGTGATTAACTAACAAACGGAGTAGAATTTTCCATTTACAACAAAAATTCTTTCATTCGGTATATAATTTTTCAATAAATTTTTATGTTTATTTTTCCCAAAAATATTAATTTTACATAAATTTGGGCACAAACATAAGTTTTGCAAAATTAATCTGCCGGAGTAGAATTTCTCATTTGGAACAAACATTATTCCAAGGCGAATTCAGATAAGGTGGTGGCAGTTCTGCAACAACAACATTTTACATGTATTTTGTTTTTGCATTTGGTTTACGTAGATGTCAAAAACCATAAGTACGGCGAATTCATTTGATAAAAAATGTTTGTAAAATGTTTATATTTTATTAAAAAATAAAGATAAAGATATTAAAATTTGTGAGGAAAATATATTCTGAATTGAATGTTTGTTTCAAACGAAAAATTCTATTCCGGCAGATTAATTTGCAAAATTTAAGTGAGTGCCTGAAGTTAAGTAAAACTTAATTTTTTGTGAAACATAAACAAAAAGTACATATTCATGAAAATATTATATTACGAATGACTGAATATTTGTTGCGAATGGACAATTCTACTCCGGCGGAGTAATTTTCGATATTTGGCCATAATGTAGCAGCCGCCGGACGGGTAAATACTTTATATGGGTTTTGTTATATAAAGCGTTCCGGAACAGAATTTTTTTAGTTAATCTCTTTATCTACATAGTGTATATATAAAACAATATTGTTTAATTTGTTAACATTTAATAGATTTCAAAATTAAGCCATATGTAAAAGTAAGCTGCCGCTGTTTGGCTAAATTCTTCATATGTGTTTCTTTATATAAAGTGTTCCGGAAGATATTTTTTTAGTTAATCACGTAATGTTAATATAAAATATAAAACAATATTGTTTAATATGTTAACATTTAATAGAAAAAAATATTTTTCCTAAATAGCATATTTGTATACATACCAATTATGCCATTATTTAAATAAAATGATATTTGTTTACGAGATGCTTGGTATTTTTAGATTTTTTACATAAATAATTCAAAATATTAACGAAGTTTTTCTCCGTTTAACGGAAATTTTTAAATATAAAAATGTAAACAATAACAAACTTTGACGGCTTAAATATACTATAGGTATAACTCTCCGATCATGAAAAAATTTATACCACATATAAAGCTTTCAATTCTATGACTTGTGATATATGTCTTTTGGTCAACAAATGTATAGTTTTGGAGTTATAGACCATCAAAGTTAAATTTATATATATTCAATATCTTCTCTAATTATGAACCGATCCTGACAATATATATATATCGTTAGAAAGAGCTTTGAAATACCTTTTCAAAGATATATAATATGACCGCATTTATTAACCCTTTCATATATTTATTAAAACTTTCATATATAAAAACGAAATTTTAATTGCACATAACGCTAATAAACGTTGTCTTAAAATGATAATTTTTTATCTGGATAACAATTTGACGTTTAGTGTGATAAAAATTTATCTAATATAGACAGGACTTAAAGCTGATTTTAACCCCTATCTATATTAGACAAATATTTATTATGCTAAACGTCAAATTGTTATCATGATAAAAAATTAGCAGGTACAGATAGCATTTATTAGCGTTATAACATCATGACAGTGTTGTCTAAACAATTGTTTAGACAACGTTGTCTTGATAACAAACGTCATTTTATTGTAAAATTTGTTTCGAATTTTGTTTTTGTGCAATTAAAATTGATTTTTAACATAAGTTTTAGTGAAATTAATGTTTATTACAAAATTTGTATTTAATTTTAATTGTTTTTATAAAATATAGCATTATTTCAATAAAATTATCTGTGAGTTGTCGTGATAAAATCAGCATTTTGTTACCCCTATGCATTAACATAAACAAAAAAACTGACAATTTTTCTGCCGACGTTTTGTCAAGTATCGTGATAAATATTTGTCTAATATAGACATGGGCTAAGCCGCCGCCGAAATTTTAGAGTCAGCCGTAGCTGCCGTTAATGTTAGGCGC